GCCCCAAAACCGATATAACGGGGAAGATAACTAAGCAACACAGCCCCCCAACTTATCCCTAAAACAATTAACCGGGTAGCACTCATGTATGCAAAAGGGCTTATTCCCTAAGAAAAAGAGAAATTAAAACAGAAAGAGACGGGCCTTTCCCTTTACGGGCAGGGAAAAAGAATAAAAGGCCTAAAAGGGGTCAATATACTAAAAGCAGGGAGACACGGGCAAAAAATAGCAAGCATCAAACTTAAAACTAAAAGAATTTTTTTAGAGTCGGGGAATCGGGGGAAGAACAAAAAGCCAAAATGAAATCAAAAGAAACCCAAAGTATTTTTCTCCTTGCCAAATCAAAATCAAACAACGTCCAGTTTTGGGGCCCCTACTTAAACAAGATGGGTCCACCAAAGAAAAACAAGGAAAAAAAGTGAGCTACTCAAGCCCAAAAAGACCAGTTTTTACAAGCCGCTAACCAGACTGAATCGAAGAAAAAATGAATTTTTTAGAGAGAGCCAAAAAATTTTTGATTAAACACAAGCCTATCCGTTTATCCTGACCCAAATGACTTCAAACAGGCAAAATGACATGCCCTCACCTGCCCCGGGGCCAGACTCATGAACCTGTTTCATCAAGAACTGCAAAAGCCCCTATCACAGCCTTTTTCCATCCTATGGAGGGGGAGCTGGACAGGGGGGCCCGTCCCAATTTTACTAAAAACAACAGACATAGCCCCCCTCCAAAAAGGGGGGCAAAAAGCAACAGCAAAGAATACAACCAAAAAGCACTAACATCCCATATCTAAAAATCTTTTAAAGGGGCCTAAGAAGCAAGATCACCACGCTCTAGAAACCCATCATTACACAACCCCGGGCCAACATGGGTTTAGAACAGGCGCTCCTGTTTTGTCTCAACTATTTGGCCACACGACAAGGTCCTAAAAGCACTAGAAGACAAAAAAATGGGAGATGTAAAATATCAGACTTTCAAAAGCCCTTTGACAAGTGGACCATGGGGTAAAAGCGCACAAATCGTGCTAAAGGAAAACAGGAAAAGTGGCATGGATCATAATTTTCCCCACTAACAAACACAGAGAAATAAATCCCTCAACAGAGTAAAATCCGAGGCAGCTACGGTAAAAGCTCTGTTCCACAAGGCACAGTACCGCTCCCATCTTGTTCCCCACCCTTAAAAACCGACATAGACAAGATGCAGAAAAAAAGCACCGGTCTTCCTTTCAGAGACACCCAATCTGCATGCATGTCTTCCATTGCAGCATGCAAAGCCCAGGGAACATCAAACCCAAAACTTCAGTGGGCTGCGAAAACAAAATGAATTCAACGATGAAAAATTTCAATTACTCAATATGGGAAACATGAGGAAATTAAATCCTTTTATCAGATACAAAACCAATTCTGGCCACAAAATAGACGAAACACCCAAGCAAAGAAACCCGGGGGTGATCATGTCGGGGGATCTCACCTTCAAGGGGCCATAACATTGTATCAATCGCATCTGCTAGAAAAATCAGATGGATAATGAAACCTTTAAAAAATAGGGAGGCCAAGCCCTGGACACTCTTCAGGTCACTTTTTCTACAGGGGGAAATTGCTGCACACAACAGCACCTTTCAAGGGAGGGAAATTGCCGACCTAGAAAAAGTACAGAGAACTTTCCCCCCCGGGGCGGATAACGGGGAAAAACACCTTTAAAAATTTGGGGGCGCTTAGGTTCCAAACCTTATTCCCGGAACGCAGGAGGGAGATACAATTTTAAAAAACCTGGAAAAACCTAAGGGACTAGTACCGAACTTTCACACGAAACACCCACAACGAAAGCAAAAGACTTGGCAGACGATGCACCATCCCCCAAGAAAAGCAGGGGGTTTACTAGCACGTTAAGAGACCAACAATAAAAGGTCAGGGCCCGGGCTGCAACTCCTCCCACACATAAGGGGGGTTACCAACAAACCCCGGAGCTCAAGCTGCACTGGACAAGACCTAAAGTCTTCCGGACAGCCGGGCGTGGCTCGTAAAGTTGGTTTGCGGCAGCCAGCAGCAACACCTGGGGATCAGCTCTGACCACCAGGAGGCCTGGGCCAACCGGGGCCCCGGGGCGTTGACCCCCGGGAAACCCTCCAGGAAAAACCCCGGTAAACAGGGGGGAATGCAACATCATTTTTTCATATTCAATACCCTTTATTGTCTAACAAGGAATAATATTTCTTGTGCAAATTTTTTTGGGGGATACAGTATTTAAATTAAATTAGTTTAGGTTGTTTTTTAGAAAGTCAAGATAGGTAGGATAGTTAGGTATGGGTCGTAAACCATAAATCATGTACTTGTAGTAAAAAAGAATTAAAAAAAAAAAATCATCTTGAACCAAGGGTGGCCCCGGGGCCCGGGGGAAGGACAAAGGGAAAATCTGAAACCCAAACTAACTAATAATAAAAATTAAATTTTTTTCACAAGACACAGTCATGAAAACAACTTTAAAAGGGCCTACCAACATCATTTACACTTATAGAAAGTCTCTGGTTTTGCAAGCATTTCAGGGAACTTTGGTTTTAAACTTGTTCTCCAGAACAGTTGGGTAACACCCAATAATTAAACCAATTCAGTGAAAAGGGGCCAAAATTGAGGAAATAGCCCGGGATCGATCACAACCTCGTCTTTGAGTTGAGGGCTACCCTCAAAATACTTATATTTGCATACAGTGGTTTTTTTTTTTTGCCTAACAATGTTTTAATTTTCATTTTAAAAAAACACACACAAATAACCCGCACATAAAAAAGAAGCTTTCGGCGACGTTTTTGGTCCACTGGACCATTTACAAAGTCACACAACCAAAGTGGAGCAGACGGGTAAATAGGCAGGAAGAGTGGTGGAAGTAGCAGTACAAAAATGGTATGTAATACCAACAAGATGTGCGGCTCTGGTTTTCTTTGTTGTGGACGTTCGCCTCCAGTGGCTGGGTGGATGGCGAAACGCACGTAGTGTGCCCGGGTGTTGCGCAGAGTCTTTAATTTTACTTGTCGTATTACATACCATTTTTGTACTTACTACTTACTACTACAACTACTACAAATAATACTACTACTACTACTACTACTACTACTACATTACTTTTCTACTACTACACTACTACACTACTACTACTACTACTACCTAACTACTCTAACTACTACACTACTACTACTACTACTACTACAACTACACTCTACTACTACTAAAATACTAACAACTACTAAAAAACCCAAATACTACTACTACTAACAACCTTAAAAATACAAAACAACAAAACTACTACACTACTAACAACACTACTACTACTACTAACAACTACACTACAAAAACAACTTACAACTACCAACACTAACACTACCACCTCTTTCCTGCCTAATATAGCCGTCCCTCCACTTTTGGTTTGGTACTTTTTTTAAAGGTCCCGTCACCGAAACTCTCGTAAAACTCCTCTTTTATTTCGGTTATTTGTGTACGCTCCACACGGAAAGTGCCTTTTTTGTTTTTTATTAAACTACCTTATCTTTGTACAGCATAAAAGTAAGTACAAATTTGAATTTGAATGTAAATGAGCATTTGTGCACCGCCTCTATTTTGAGGTAAAAGTAACAAAAGTGAAAATTTTTTTATAAAAGTATTTTTAAAAATTTTGTCAAGATGGGGTTTTATTTCACCTTTTAATTTAATTTTTTTTTTAGGGGCCACCTCTGGGAAAGGGCGGGGATTGCCATAAACTTACACAGGAAGGATGTTTTGTGGCCATAACGGCCCCAAACTGCTGCTTTTTGAAAGACCAGCAAGTTTTGCACATGGCGGGTACCACAAGGGGGAAGGTCAGGATATAAAAAAAAATTTGCATCTCACTTATGGAGTGGCATCATTACTTTCAACAATCTTTGTAATAGCATTGAAATGGTCTTTATGCATATTTGCGTGCAGGATGTGGGTAGGGATTTTGTCAGTTCTTATAATTTGTGAATTTTGGGTTTGATCTTGTGACGCACAATCATTTTTTGAATAGGCAAAATTTACATAAATATTTGTCTTTTAAATTGTTGCACTATATGTATGAGTTACTTTCCTGAAAATTGATGGGGAAGGGAATAAAGGCAAGGAAGGGTGGAAAAAGAGGGGGAAAAAAAAAAATTTTAACCCAGACCCCCCAAAGGTTCCAACACTTTTCTTCCTATTATCTATAAAAAATACTCATTTCACTTCCTGTTAGTTATTGTTTGAGGCATTTGAAAAATTTGGGGAAGATTAACTGGACCTGCGGATTTAAATGGATGTAGCATGGGGGATAAGGTAAAATTTTTAAAACCAGGGGCACTTTTTCCTGTTTAAAAAAATGAAATCATATTTTTCCCAAACAAATTGAATCAACAAATATACCAAAGATTAAAAAATTTTAAAAAAAGTGGGAGGCGCATCAACTGGGTCCCTGGGACATGTCCCTCTTGATAAAAATACTACATTTCCATATTAATTATAGCAAATATATAGGGGGTCGTGTCGGCGATGGAAATTTATGAAAGGGTGAGGTTTTAATCATGAATTTTAGGGAAAAAAAGGGGGGGTGCTTGAGGGATATGTGGGGTCAAAAAAAGTTTATCTATGAGCAAAGAAGGAATGTATGAAATATATAGTACCAACACTTTTATATGGATGTGAAGCTTGGGGGGAAATCACACGAGAGACGGTTGGAGGGATGGGGATGTCCTGTCTAAGGGCATGTTGGGGTTTAAAAATTAACAGAAAATTCGATGTGGAAATTTGGGGAAGGTGTGGGGTTAATAAAAGCATTAGTCAAGGCAGAAGAGGGGTTGTTGAGGTTTGGTTTTGGGCTTAGAGAGAATGGACAAAGTAAATGACATGGAAAGCATATAAACTATAGGAAGGAAAGAGGGGTAAGGGTCTCCTCGAAAGGGGTTGGGAAAAGGGGGTAAAAGGGGGTTTTGTGGGGTGAGGGCTTGGGCTTCCACAAGCGTCATGACGGTTAGATAGTGAATGGAGACGAATAACTTGGGGCCTGACGAACTGTTGAGTGGGACAGGGGGTTAAAAATTAGGAAGGATTCAGGGAAAACCGTTATTTTCAATTCGGCCTGATCCCGGAAATGGGAAACAATCCTTCACTTTAAAGGAGGGGTTTGGATATTGGGATTTTGGGGGGATATGTTGTGTATCTCAAACATATGCTTTAAACTGTTTGTATTTTGAGCCCCTCTGCAAAAGCATGTAAGTGGAGTTGGTGAAAGGTTTAATGGGATGAAAGTGTTTTTTTTTTTGGGATTTTCTTTTTTTTTTTGGGCCCCGCCTCGGGGGGGAGACGGCCGCTTGTTGAAAAAAAAAAAAAAAAAAAAGGTTTTACACACTTATACCAAGGAACAAATATTAAAGAAGAAAACAGTGGACCCCCGCTTTAAAGATCACCTCCCAAACACCAATTAGTAATTTATTTATTAAGTGCTTTGTACGTGTTGTTTGGGGGGTTTAAATGACTAATCTATTCGCAAATTCCTTATGGAAAAAAAATTCGGTCAGACTGGGACCTGAACAACTTTTGGAATGAAAAAATAAAAGTTAACCGGGGCCACGTACTTAAAAAGGGTAACCAAAATAAAAACAGACAGGGTGGGTGGGGGGGGGGTGGGGTGTAATTTAAATAAAATGGGGTGGGAGGCTGTGGTGGGGAAAATTGGAGAACTGCTTTTGTCTCTAGTTTGGGTCCCTTTTATGAAACCAGGTAGATTTCTTATATAACTCTTAAAAGATTCTGAATTGTCTGTACAAACTTTTTTTTCTTATACTATCATAGGGTCAATAAAAGTGGGAAAATTTTCATTCACTGAATATAAACAAGGAAAATAAAAAAATGAACAAAGAAATTATTATTTACAGTTAGACAAGTAGGAATTTGGGGCACCTGTCGCAAAAAAAATCCCCCCTTTGATACCTCCACTGCAACCCCCAAGTTGCTCTGGACCATTAATTAAAAAATGAAAAATCATCCCCAGGGAAAACTGGTAAATATAAAATTTTGGACTGATATTTAAAATTTAAAAAAGATTTTATAAAAACACATAACAAACAAAGGAAACAACTTAAAACTAACACTCACCAATTTGACTGCGAAATTTTTTGTCAACAGGGCCCCCCCTTTTTCCCACTTATGAAAAATTTACTGGCCAGAAAATTAAACATAAATTTTAAAAGCTTAAACTAGTTTTCCCGGAGTTGTTCTGTCCGTCGATGAACCAAATTATGCAGGAATGCTCACAACAATTTTGTCTCCTATTTGAGAGGTGTCCCAATTTAAAAACCCAGAGCACGAAAAATTCTTCCAAAATTTTACAAAAAGTTGACCATTCAAACACAATGGCGATCTCTTCGCGCAGGCGCGTTCTTCCCATTATCGATAATAAATTTTTTTTATATACAAAAAGGGCATCTATTTACTATAAATTACCGTATTTCCGGGAAAAAAACAGTATTTTTTACAAATGGTTTTGGAAGGAAAAGTTAAGGAGTCTGCTACACCATGCACTCTGGCTAGAGTGAAGCTGGAGTCTGCAGGCAATTTAGGAAGTGAATGCTTGGCTGCACCTCCTCTATAATATTACTTCTATGTTGCCTATAATATTACTGCTGCAGTGTGTTGCTAATATAAGTGAACAGCAGTGTGGCAATTTCTAGATAATGCAATGTATTTGGACAGTCAACTGGTGTCATACCTTCATTGATGATACATATTGTACCTTCGCTACACCACTTTCTTGTTAGGTAAAAGGACGCAAGTGCAACTAATGTGACATTTTTTGTGGCAACGTTTTGCTCTCCAGGAACTTTATCAAGCCGTATCTTTTTATCTAACATATTGTCGGTAATTCTACCAATGTTAATACACCACTTTCTTGTTTGAACACTTCCCCCCCCCCCCCTATAATTGATGACCAACATGTTCAGTAATTGTAGAAATACAGCTAGAGTAGGTAAATTACCACAAAAGTCACAGGAATGTGAAATTATTGTACTGAATTTTCATAAAATAATTCAAAACTAATTATTCACTATTAAACTTCTCTACTAGACCTATTAAAGACATATAGCATTACCTATTAATACTCGGTTCTCTTGTACTGACTGTAACTCGTGTAATGACCATTTAATCTGTTATAGCCTAATTAATCTCAAGTTAATTTTAAGTTTGCCTGAAATGCTCTGCATACAAGGGGGCTTTTAGCATGTACACTCAACTATTATATTCCTTTGTACAACTACGTATCATGTCAAAATAAAATATTGTTATTATGTGTATTATAATTGTGATGATAATTCTGAACTTGGGTGGATGTTGGCTTGCAACTCTTTGTGGACCTGTCTGTGGCCAGACCTCCCTGTTGTTTGCCTGGTCATCCAGGGATGCATACATACATACTGTATTAGTATTGAAGGAAAGAAAGAAAAGCACATTTCACTGTACTGTTCTGAGGATAAATTTAGGTCTGGTTGTTTTGTTCATGCCATTCTACTTTCCCAGTGAGCCATAATAGGTAAAAGTGTGTGTAAGAAAGCAGATGTCATTTATTGCCTAGACTTCTCAAATAAACCTGCTCTCCACATTGTGTATTAATGTGTATAAAATATATACAAACACTGTAGTACAATGTCCATAACTAAAGTTTGAAACTTTCATGGTGTTGTAATTTTGTTTCTAACCCCAGAGTGAATATACAATGAAATCCTGTATAATGAACTAATAGGGGAGAAGAGCTGTCCATTTAAATGAAAAATATCAAAATGCCTGATGCAACAGACATAATGCACTGTATGGATAGCTTACTGACAAAATCTCAGTGCAGTGAACTTAGTCTGTTGTTTGGTAAGTCCATTGGACAGAGGCACTACTGCTAAAGAACAAAATCCTGAAGCAGCACACTTAGTTTGTTGCATTGCATTTTGTCCATTATATCTGAAATTTGTTACATAGGGGTCAGTTATATCTAGTATTTACTGTACTTGGAAAGATTGAATCACTGAAAATTTGACCTTAATTCTTCTTTCAACACACCAGCCGTATCCCACCAAGGCAGGGTTTTCTGGAGTTTATCTGGAGAGAGTTCCGGGGGTCAACGCCCCCGTGGCCCGGTCTGTGACCAGGCCTCCTTAGGTCAGTGTCCCAGGATGCGACGCACACCAGTCGACTAACACCCAGGTACCCATTTTACTGATGGGGAACATAGACAACAGGTGGAAAGAAACACGTCCAATGTTTCTACTCTGGCTGGGAATCGAACCCAGGCCCTCACCGTGTGAAGCGAGAGCGTTAACCACCAGGCCACCAGAGCCCAAAAAGAAAAATGAAAGTTTCTCTTTTTAAATTTAGTAATTTATACAGGAGAAGGGGTTACTAGCCCCTTGCACCCGGCATTTTAGTCGCCTCTTACAACACGCATGGCTTACGGAGGAAGAATTCTGTTCCACTTCCCCATGGAGATGAGAGGAAATAAACAAGAATAAGAACTAGAAAGAAAATAGAAGAAAACCCAGAGGGGTATGTATATATATATGCTTGTACATGTATGTGTAGTGTGACCTAAGTATAAGTAGAAGTAGCAAGATGTACCTGAAATCTTGCATGTTTGAGACAGAAAAAAGACACCAGCAATCCTACCATTATGTAAAACAATTACAGATTTCCGTTTTACACTCACTTGGCAGGACGGTAGTACCTCCCTGGGTGGTTGTTGTCTACCATCCTACTACTTATTTGACCTTAATTATTGGGTTTAATTTTATGTTTAACATGAAGTATGATTATGCTATAATTATGTTAAAATGCAAGCGTTGTATTTATGGATTGCTTTCAGTCCCATTTGTAATACCTATGATAAGTTACTGTATGCACATTGTACAGTATGGTACAGCACTTTCGTACAGCAGTTAAGAACTAGTATTGATTTCGTTATCTAAAATTATTTAAGGAAAAAGTTTCAGATAACCCCAATGAGCTTTTTAATTTAAAATTTTTAATGCCATAATGACACATTTTTGGGGAATTGAGAAATCATCACTATGGTTGCTTGAGGGTTGTGTGGCAGTTAATTACATAATCTAAGCAATAGGGCCTTCAGAAATAAAATTCTGTGAGTGGGGAAAATGCTTGAGGCACATTGGTTGTCTCCTTTAATCTTGATATGTTGACTTCTTTCTCATTGTAAAAATTGCAGGTAATTCACAGTACACAGGAGGATCTCATTTGTATGACTTTTGGGTTCCCAACCCTCAGCAATAAGTGAAAAACACTGGCAAGTGGAAAAGAGCATTTTTTCAATATCAAATGCATCTAAAATGCTTGATAACTTGTTTATACTATCATGTATTAAGTGTTCAGTACAGCTAAGCATAAAAAAAAGATATAAAAGTAAATAAGTACACAGTACATACAATACTTACCTTATAATACGGTGCCAATCACCCATCCCTTATACAACTGTTGTGGGAAAATGGCAGAGAAGTGGAAATAGCACTGAATATAATGAATACTGGCTCAGTTGAAACCCAACAAAAACGTGGAACACCAAAAAAAAAGTGCCAAGTATGCGGGGCCCGAAATGCACCACATACTTGTAGCTTTCTTTTATGCCTAACAAGATTTTATTTGTACACGTAAACTACATTACCTGTATACTACAAAAAAAAAAAGAAATAAATTACGTGTATTTGTAATTGTAATTTGTAAAAAGTAGTTGTTAATAAACCAGTTACAGCCACTCATATGTTCTTCTGTCAGTCACTTGCTAACCCTAATTTAACCTTTCCAGGAAATAATGTTTAAAAAAAAAATGTACTGTATTCTGTAAATATACTGTACTGTACTTTATTTATTTAGTAATTTAAGCATACATACAAAGATACAAAAAATACAGGTAAGAGCAGCATGCCAAAGCCACTTATATGCATAGCATTACGGGCTGGCTTAAAATTAACTTAAGATTAACTAAGCAATGATGAAATCAATGATAAAACATTATTGTAAACAGATAACTATAAAGCACAAATGAGTATTACAAAGACAGGTCATATGGTTGCATGCATTGTTGTACATTCAGTCGAATGGAGTATTCTGTTAGGTAGTGTATTTAAAAAAATAACAAAGTTAGATTGGGTCCTAGGTTTAACATTTGTGTGATATAATTGTGAGTAACATATAGGATATACAATTTATAAGGTTCAGTTATTCAGTATTTATTTGGTTTTGAGTGAGTAAGTGATCTTTGAGAAGAGACTTGAATTTATAAACAGGTAGTGTTTCTTTTATATTTACAGGTAATGAATTCCAGATTTTAGGGCCTTTTATGTGCATTGAGTTTTTGCATAGCGTGAGATGGACACGAGGAACATCAAAGAGTGATCTGTGCCTTGTGTTATGGTCATGTCTTGTTAGCTTAATCAGCAAATCGTTGTTATTATACAGGAAAGCATAAATGGCAGTGGAAAAAAGTACTCTAGTAAATTCAGTTATAATATTTTTCAGTAAAGCCTAAGCATTTATAACAGTTTTATATATCAAATATTAATGCAGACATACAGCATAACATAAAACAAATGGATAGATCATGCTCATAACTCATAATTTTGCAAATTGTAAAAATTTTTGGGGCTTAATCTGAGTACAGTAGTTCATAGTTCAGTTTAAACTTCTGTAAGCTTTGTTTTAATTTTATATACATTGGACCCCCAATATTCGATGGCATCGGTATCCGATAAATCCGGTATTCGATTCATTTTAATGCAAAAATTTTGCCTCGCCACTCGTTAAAAAACCCGCCACACGCAATTCGTCTGAGATGTGTCCACGTGTGGCCTGAACTGCCCCGTGCGTGCCAGTGTTTACAAGCCAGCCAGTGTGCTCGCATCTAAGCATACATTCGGTACATTCCATATTATCACAGTGTTTTTGGTGCTTGTTTCTGCAAAATAAGTCACCATGGGCCCCAAGAAAGCTTCTATTGCAAGCCGTGCTGGTGACTATTACAATTACAATGTTGTGGCCCATTTTACACAAATCGTAAAGGAACGGGAGGTACAGAGCTCTATGGACAGATTTGTTGTGCGACAGAGGTCCAGTGACTCTCAAGCTGGTCCTAGTGGCATTAAAAGAAGGGAAGTAACCCTGGAAAAGGACTTGCTACCTCAAGCCCTAATAGAAGGGAATTCCCCTTCTAAACAATAAGTTCGACACTCTCCCCTCCTCCCATCCCATCAATCATCACCAGATCTTCATTAAAGGTAAGTGTCATGCATTCTATTGTTAGAAGAGTACTACAAACTGTGCATGTCTTCTTCAGTTTGTGTGCATTAAACTTAATATTTCATGTGGTAAAATTTTTTTTTCATACTTTTGGGTGTCTTGCACGGATTAATTTGATTTCCATTATTTCTTGTGGGGAAAATTAATTCGCCTTTCAATATTTTGGCATACGATGAGCTCTCGGGAACGGATTAATATCGTACACCGGGGGACCACTGTATCAGCATATACATTTTTTTTGATTTGCATTAACAAAAATAAATTAGATAACCATATTGACATGAATATTAATGTTGTATTTTTTTTTTTTTAAGGTTTTGAGTATTAAAGCTGATTTAAGCAAAGATGCAGATTGTGAGCATGTTGTTTCTGCTACTGTATCACATTTTGGTCACCTCGACATCTTGGTAAATAGTGCTGGTAAGTACACTACTGAAATAATACATAGATAACCCCCACGTACTAGGAGAGAGGAGCTTACGATGACGTTTTGGTCCGACTTGGACTGAAACATTGTCGTACAAGAATGGTATACAATACCGACAAGATGAAAATTGAGACACATGTGCAACTTCTGGGTATCTTTATTGTAGACATTTTGCCATCCAGTGGTTTTATCAATACAGATTCTAGGACATAATTTGAAGACAGTAGAACTATATACAAAAGATGAGGTAATCAGTCCCTCAGCCTTGGAGTTTGTGTGAAGAGCACCATAGTCGTGAAGATTCTGTAGTGCAGGCAAGGAGGTTGGTGCTTATATACTAACGTCAGGTGGAAAGGGACGGGTAGCAGACGAGGGCATAGCTACTGGTATGTGGGAATCCTCAGTGGAAGTAGGTCGTACGCAAAGGGATGGGTAAGTTGTAGATTACCTCATCTTTTGTATATAGTTCTACTGTCTTCAAAATGTCCTAGAATCTGTATTGATAAAAGCCACTGGATGGCAAAACGTCTACAATAAAGATACCCAGATGTTGTACATGTGTCTCAATTTTGAAATGTTGTCGTAAGCTTCTCTCTATGTGAGAGTTATTTGTGTATTGTTGCAGTCATGATATTGTGCCTTTTTGTTCTTTACACTATTGGAAGATCACAAAAAACTCACTTTTATGAGCTGTTTATTATTATTTCTGTATTACTGGGTATCCTTGAAGGCGGGACCTATAAGTGGTTGCCTATTTTTTTTCATTTCCCATTTTTCATTTCCATTTTCTTCAAATTTTTAATGCTAGTATATGGTAACTAGAGCAAGATTCATGCAACTAGTGTCATGTTCAGGTGCCCATTCCAAGATTCCTGGAATGAGACTGATGACTTTCAAAAGTCTCTGCTCTTTGGCTTCAAAAGGTGCTGCCTACTTCGATCATGGTGGAGAGTGAAATTGAAGTGTGTAGGGGCACATTAGATGATTTTATTTGTAAAATTTTTATAACTTAAATCACATTCAAATATATGAATCTGCCTTTTCTGAATGGCTTCAGTATTTAATGGCTGATTCATTTTATGGACAAGATTGTACCCTTTAAGTTTGCATGAGTACAAGAAACCACCCACTTACTGATTTCAACTATCCAATAAAGTGGTCAGAATTTAGCAATTTTGCCAATTTCACACAAATTTCAAAAGATGCCAATTTCCAAATAGGGTCCAGAATAAACAAGAAAGACATTCCTGGCACTAAAATAACATTTCCTCTGTTCATTAGTCACGTCCCCACGCCCCTCTTACATTACATTCTTTTGCTTTCCACTTTGAATTTTTATTCTCACAAAAAACAGAAGATCTACTGTTATGCAGACTACTGCATTAGTGTAGAAATGGTATAAATAATATCAGCGCACTTGCGAAAGAATATTAGACTCACCAGTTGACGTGTATTGGACGCATAGTATGATTTGTTTACTTTTGAACTTTGGCAAAAATCGAAGATTTCTGCTACTTTGAGCTCAATTTCAAGGTACTTTTCATTGTAAAACCAATCAAAATCATCTCAATTTCTGTAATATGTCTTCCATTCTATAAAATGATACCAGGAAAACTAGAATACCATCATAAATACCATACAAAAATACAGTGCAAACCAAAAACAGTCAGTTTTTTTCTCGTTACGCACTGTGTGCTGCAGGATTTTTTTTATACTGTGCACACTGACCACATAGACTCATTCTTTCATATGTAGGCCTACCAGCTTTCTCTAACTAGATTTGAGGGCGCTAGAATTTAGGCGTACTAGTATGTCAAAAACCCTGGTGCGTAAGCTGTTCTAGTGCGTCAGAAACTCTGAAAGGGTTAACCAAATCAACCAAACATCTACTGGCTAGTTTTATCATGTGACCTCCTGGCTTTTAATTCTGCCATTCCATAAAATATTACCACCTGCACCATTCCTTGTAAATTAGATTGTGTACTAAGTAGTATACATAAGATTAAGTATACATAGATGAGATGGGAGAAAGAGACTACATAGCAGATACACTTCAGTCTGGGGAACACAAAGTGGTCATTGCAGTGATGTATAATCCACCACAGAACTGCAGGAGGCCAAGAGAGGAATATGAAGAGAGCAACAGAGCAATGGTGGACACACTTGCTGAGGTGGCAAGAAGAGCTCACTCCAGCAGAGCAAAGTTGCTGGTTATGGGGGATTTCAACCACAGGGAGATTGACTGGGAAAACCTGGAGCCACATGGGGGTCCCGAAACATGGAGAGCCAGGATGTTGGACGTGGTGCTGGAAAACCTCATGCACCAACATGTTAAGGACACTACCAGAGTGAGAGGGGAGGATGAACCAGCAAGATTGGACCTTGTGTTCACCCTGGGCAGCTCAGACATTGAGGACATCAAGTATGAGAGTCCCCTAGGAGCTAGCGACCACGTGGTTCTGTGCTTTGAATACATAGTAGAGCTGCAAGTGGAGAGAATAACAGGAGTTGAATGGGAAAAGCCTGACTATAAAAGAGGGGACTACATAGGGTTGAAGAACTTCCTGCGGGAGGTCCAGTGGAACAGAGAACTGGCAGGAAAGCCAGTAAATGAAATGATGGAATACGTAACAACAAAATGCAAGGAGGCAGTGGAAAGGTTTATTCCCAAGGGCAACAGTAACAACGGGAAGACCAGAACGAGCCCCTGGTTTACCCGACGGTGTGAGGAGGCAAAAACAAAGTGCAATAGAGAATGGAAAAAGTACAGAAGGCAGAGAACACACGAAAATAGGGAGATCAGTCGCAGAGCCAGGAATGAGTACGCACAGGTAAGGAGGGAGGCCCAGCGACAGTATGAAAATGACATAGCATCGAGAATCAAGACTGACCCGAAACTGTTGTATAGCCACATCAGGAGGAAGACAACAGTCAAAGACCAGGTGATCAGATTAAGGACAGAAGGAGAACTCACAAGAAATGATCAGGAGGTATGTGAGGAGCTGAACAGGAGATTTAAGGAAGTTTTTACAGTAGAGACAGGAAGGGCTGTGGGAAGACAGCACAGAAGGGAACATCAAGGGGGAATATACCAACAAGTGTTGGATGACATACGAACAACTGAGGAGAAGGTGAAGAAGCTCTTAAGTGACCTTGACACCTCAAAGGCGATGGGACCTGACAACATCTCCCCATGGGTCCTTAGAGAAGGAGCAGAGATGCTGTGAGTGCCTCTAACCACAATCTTCAACACATCCCTTGAAACTGGGCAACTACCTGAGAAATGGAAGACAGCTAATGTAGTCCCCATATTTAAGAAAGGAAACAGAAACGAGGCACTAAACTACAGACCTGTGTCTCTGACATGTATTGTGTGCAAAGTCATGGAGAAGATTATCAGGAGGAGAGTGGCCGAATACCTGGAAAGAAACAAGATTATAAATGAAAACCAGCATGGGTTCATGGAAGGCAAATCTTGTATCACAAACCTCCTGGAGTTTTATGACAAGGTAACAGAAGTAAGACACGAGAGAGAGGGTGGGTAGATTGCGTTTTCCTAGACTGCAGGAAGGCCTTTGACACAGTTCCCCACAAGAGATTAGTGCAGAAGCTGGAGGATCAGGCGCATGTAAAAGGGAGGGCACTGCAGTGGATAAGGGAATACCTGACAGGGAGGCAGCAACGAGTCATGGTATGTGAAGAGGTATCACAGTGGGCGCCTGTTATGAGCGGGGTCCCACAGGGGTCAGTTCTAGGACCAGTGCTATTTTTGATATATGTGAACGACATGATGGAAGGAATAGACTCTGAAGTGTCTCTGTTCGCAGATGACGTGAAGTTGATGAAGAATTAAATTGGACGAGGATGAGGCAGGACTGCAAAGAGACCTGGACAGGCTGGACATGTGGTCCAGTAACTGGCTTCTCGAATTTAATCCAGCCAAATGCAAAGTCATGAAGATTGGGGAGGGGCAAAGAAGACCGCAGACAGAGTATAGGCTAGGTGGACAAAGACTACAGACCTCACTCAGGGAGAAAGACCTTGGGGTGACCATAACACCGAGCACATCACCGGAGGCACACATCAACCAAATAACCGCTGCAGCATACGGGCACCTGGCAAACCTGAGAATAGCGTTCCGATACTTTAATAAGGAATCGTTCAAGACACTGTACACTGTGTATGTTAGGCCCATACTGGAGTATGCAGCACCAGTCTGGAACCCACACCTAGTCAAGCACGTCAAGAAAGTTAGAGAAAGTACAAAGGTTTGCAACAAGGCTAGTCCCAGAGCTCAAGGGAATGTCGTACGAGGAAAGGTTAAGGAAATCGGACTGACGACACTGGAGGACAGAAGGGTCAGGGGAGACATGATAACGACATACAAGATACTGCGGGGGATAGACAAGGTGGACAGAGATAGGATGTTCCAGAGAGGGGACACAGGGACAAGGGGTCACAACTGGAACCTGAAGACTCAGACGAGTCACAGGGACGTTAGGAAGTATTTCTTCAGTCATAGAGTTGTCAGCAAGTGGAATAGCCTAGCAAGTGAAGTAGTGGAGGCAGGAACCATACATAGTTTTAAGAAGAGGTATGACAAAGCTCGGGAAGCAGAGAGAGAGAGGACCCAGTAGCGATCAGTGAAGAGGCGGGGCCAGGAGCTGAGTCTCGACCCCTGCAACCACAATTAGGTGAGTACAATTAGGTGAGTACATAAGATTAAGTCCAAACAAGATTGTAAAACAGCTAACCACTATTCTATGTTTAGTTTTAAGTAATAATTACTATGTACTATTATCTTATCTAGCTTTAATCAGTTACTATGTATTAGGATTAGTTTGCTTGAAATGCCTCGGCATGATAGTGGCTATCTTTGTACTTAGCAAATCAAAATTGTAATTACACATTGTAATCTTTACAAAGAAATAAACTTATTATTATTATTTATTAGGGTAAGTTTGTCAGTGCACTAACTTGCTAAAAGTATGCATCTGAACATTTAGGTTTTTATTAATTTGTTGAATAGTGTTTCAGTGGTAGGTAATAACACATGGGCAGCTTTCTTGTAATGAATGGTGGTACAATAAATCATGCTTAATATAATTTACTAGTAAAGGGGGATTGTCTAGGTGTTTAATCAGAATAATGTTAAAAAAATAGCACAAGAATTAATAAAGTATTGTATACCTAATTTAGTACTGTGTACATGTATGATTTACAGTTATTTTGCAATAAACATTGAAAATAAATAAGTCAGAAGTACAGTTTACCCAGTGGATTTTGTCCATTATTTTAAAAAGCCAGTTATATCAAGAGTTTACTGTACATTAGCTCTGTTTCCTGTGTGTGTTTTTAATTTTTTATTGAAGCTGCTTATGTGGGATTAATTGGGGTTAGGTAGCTAACAGTGAGGTAATATGTTGCTTGGTCATGGGCATTTGGGATTTTGCTGCCTAGGTTTAATATTTTAGTCCAGAAGTTGCTTTAGTTTAATTACCGGTCTTAGCAAATTTATCTGAACCCAGTATTTACATTATTTGTGAATAATACATATATAATACCTTAGTATTTTCACTGGAGAGATGTTTCATCTGCACACCAGACTTAGTGTAGCCAGTGGTAGACGTGGAGAGTTTCAGTAGTTGTAGATGTGGTTACAAGTGTGCAGGACACACTAGTAATAGTGGGTCAGATCTATAAGATGGGCCAGAGATTAGCAATAAAATTGTTGAAAATGTTTTCTGTATCAAGATTTCATGGTGGTTTGTGTGTCAGACAAGTATCATCAGAGCAGAATTATAAGTTCTCTGTAAATTACCTGTAGTCGGTTTCAAGGGTTATTGCCCCTGCAGCCTGGTTTCAGATTAAGCTTACCAGTTACTGACCTGGTCAACCAGGCTGTTGGTCCCATCAACAAGCAAACCAACACATGCACCACAGCCTGGATGATTGGGGATGACTTTAAGATAAGTTCCCTTTTTGAAGATAGCTAGGCATTTGTTGATAATTTCTTATATACATAAAAAAAGGGTATTAGTCTTGTTGCCTTTACACTAACTGGGTTGTCTCGGTGGACTCGTCCCACATCTAGTTTTCACTGGGGTATTTTGCACTGTCTGACAAGACTCGTACTTTCATATGAAGTGATTTCGGTGGGCAGGTTTGGGATAAAATCTTCCAGGTGATACCTGTTTGACATAGTCAGATCATGGAATCTTGGTACAGAGGATGTCTTCAATTTTATTGCTAACGTTTGGCCCACCTTATAGGAATGACGTACTTCCAACACTGGGGTCCTGCCCAACTATGACTGCTACTATAAGTCTTCATCATTATGTCCCTGTATTACACTGAAAAATACACAGATAATCCGCACATAGGAGAGAGGAGCTTGCGATGACATTTCAGTCCGACTTGGACCATTTACAAAGTCAGTGTGACACAGTGTAATTTTGTAAATGGTCCAAGTCGGACCGAAACACCGTCGCAAACTCCTCTTTCCTATGTGCGGGTTATTTGTGTATTGTTCCAGTCATGGTATTGTGCCTTTTTGTTATTTGCATTGAGAAAGCCTGCTGTTCAGGCAAAACTTGTCTAGTAAAGATAACCAGGTGTTGCACATACCTTATTTATCGACTTGTTTGTATTATAGTATATACAGTAGGGAGGGGTGTTAATGTTGCAGTTTTATAACTGTAGTGTAAGCGCACCTCTCACTAGACAGTGATGTAGTGAATGATGGTGAAAGTTTTTCTTTTTCGGGTCACCCTGCCTTGGTGGGAGATGCCGATGTGTTAATGAAAAAAGTAATAAATTCCAGAGGATGGGTAAGCCTCCCCCATAACTCCAGTCTGTTTTATGGGCTTTTAATTATTGGGATGCTGTAAGCCATGAACACTCTTTCCAGGTTATATTTTATTACCCAAGGAATAGAGTAAATCTATTTTAGTTTGAATAAGAATTCAAAATGGAAAGTGTGTATAAATTGCTCTGAGACTGTTAAATTTGCACCTGCATAATTCCATGAGTTTTCTATCAAATTTTGTACTTTTGGTGTCATTACCTTCAGAAAAAAATGATCTACAATTTCAGAAGAAAAAAGAATTTTGGGGGGTTAAATTTTTGGATATTGAGGGTATGTTTCACGTCAGGGGTCTGGACAGTGCAAGGGTTAAAGTGTAAAATAATTAGAGTAAGTTTTGTTAAGAAAAGGAGAAATATAGATAATTAATTAACCACACTTCACACACTATTGACTTTTTTGAGCACCTTGAAATATTTGTTTCTTGTTTCAGGAAGCCTTATTGTAGGTGGAATTGAGACTATTAGTATGGAGGACTATGATCGTCAGATGAACATTAATACCCGATCAGTGTTCCTTATGATGAAGTTGGCCTTGCCTCATATACTGGAAACCAAAGGAAATATTGTTAATATATCTTCAGTAACAGGATTAAGAGCTGTAAGTCTTACTATGCTTAAGTGTGTACCTAGAGATGATTACTTTTTTTTTTTTAAGCAACTTCTGATGTAATGTACATATATTTTGTGGATTTATTATTTGTATTATTTAATTAAAAAAATGTTCAGTTTATTAAATTGTTATACTGTACTACATTCAAATAAAGCACTGAACTAATGAAGAGTTATTCAGTGTTACTAGGTAAAGGAGGGCAGGAGGACTGATATCACAAGTGATAATTTGGCAAAGTTTTTAGGGTATGTACAAAGGTAGAATGAGGAATACAAATTCACTGCAGTTAAATTAATTGTGGACAAAGTACTAGTCCATATGAAAGATGACTCTTCCCAAAAGTGCTGACAATGTTTGTAGAAAACAGCTTTTTGATTGTTGTCTTAGACCAACAACACTGATAGCAGTCTAACATGCTGGTAATATTGTAATCTAAAAAAGGGCATTTGTTTGTGGGAGATGGAGATAGTAAAGTTTCACACTATAGGACAAATAAAGAAGTCTACAAGTTTATTTCACAGAATTCCTAGGGGACCCAGCAGGAGAAAATATACTGTCTACCAAAGATGCAATTAAGCACGTACTGTATTTGAAGCAGGAGTTGATGGAAAGACTCAAAAGGCCAGATTGATTACAGTACATTGTGAGAATTAAAGATGACCACAGATAAGGTGGCCATAGTAGCAATATTGATGATAGCTGCAGGTAGTGAATGTACTGACAGTCTCTTGACAAACACTATTGAAAAAACTTTTGAAAGACAGCAGCTTACCTTGTCAGTGTGTACAAAAAGTAAAAACTGGGATAGAAAACAGTCAAGAAAGAAATGCAAGTCTGAAGTAGAATAAGAAAACCTTTTGAAGGGAAGGAGAGGACAGACATGGAGCATAAAGATTTCCGAAATTTGAAAGATAAGTGATAAGTGGGAAAAAATGGCAAAGTGAAGAAGTTAATTGATAAGGGAATGAATGCAGAGATTACCTGTTAACCATAGGCTCCAGCAGCTTACATAATGAACTTGCATTCAGTTCACGAACGAAAGCAATTAAGAATTGCAGGAGAAAATGTAGCAGCAAGGCTGTAAGTTTTGAAACATGTTAATATATATGTGAAGGCTTACTCAGCCCTGTAACAACTTCAGTCAGTATTACCAAGGCTGGCTCCTCCTCAGGAAAATTAATGAATAGAAAAAGAAATAATAACAGACAATGATAAACACCTTATTATTTAGAAACGGAAAATGTAAAACAATAAAACATGAATGGGTATCCTAATTGAAAGAAAAATGAAAAATGAAATGAAAAAAAAATTACATTTGAACTCAACGAATATGGGTAAACGTGGTAATGGGATGTCAGGTGGGGGTGACACTGCTGTTTTGAAACGTGCTTGCTGATGGGGGGGGGGTAGCAGGTTTTTGGTGACCACCCCGGCTCGTTCTTCACAGAGTAGGCCCGGATAATTACTTCAGAGACGGGAAAACATTTCGTTCCCTTTGCTATTTTAGGGGTTTTGGGTCCTGCTGGCAATAAAAACATGGGACGCTCGGACTTAGCCCCATCCCCCTTATTCTTCTCTTGTTTGGCATGACCCCCTGTCATTCCAAGCTGTAAAAGAGAAGTTTTACCCACGCTTAAAAAACACTCTCCATGAAAGTACAAACCTAAAATGGGGGTTTATTAAAACATTTAACAATAAAGACTAAAAGGACTAATTAAATTTATTGGTCAAAAGTAAGCTTCAACCAATAAGTCCACAAAAATAGATCAGGCGTGTACTTACAAAGTGTTGGAGCTTGATGAGTGTTTACTTTTTGACCGGAGCCCCACACGTCCCCCTTTGGGGGGGGGGGGGGGGGGGAAGAGGGAGGGGAGGGATAGCGGGAGCTAGACTGACCTACCTTAACAAGCACCCGGGAAAATCAAACTATCACTTTTCGGGGGGGGGGAAAAAAAGGGGGGGGGGGGAATGCGGGAGCGACTTACCCTACCTTAACAATAGCCGCAATGAAACATTGTTACTTTACACCCCTCACTACTCCTTCTGTTGAACTTTCCCCGCAAATACATTATTTACCCTGGCTGCCATAGATGGACACGTTGATATACTGAAGAAGTTATTTCAGGGGAAAGAACAGAAAAAGGGGGCTCATAGTAAAAGGCAAAATTTTAGTATGGGGGATTCTTTACTTTTTAAATTTTCATTAGTTTGGAAGATAGTTAAACCCCATTCTTCAGCCTTTCCCCAACCACTATTATTTTATCCCAGCATGTTAATTGTAAAGGGGGAAGGGAGTATTGGGTGTGGCAGAAATTTTGAGGAATTTTTAAATTGGGAAAGAAAGGGAGGTGGTAATTTCATGCACGGTCAGGGGGGTATCCCAAAACCCTTTTTGGGAGGGAAGAAGAGCAAATGAAAGGGGTGGGGGGGGTACGTGAGGCTTTACGTAAAAAAAAGGGGGGAAAAGCAGCGGGAAACTGATGGGATCAGACAGAAATTTTAAAACGGAGGGGATATAGTGTTGGAGTGGGTGGTACTTTTGTTTAATAAAATTATGAAAGGGGGGAAGGTCCCCTAGGGATTGGGGGAGAGCATGTAAGTCCCCCTTTATATGGGAAAGGGGACAAAAAAATTTGTAAAAATTATAGGGGAAAATTTTTATTGATATACCGGGAAAAGTTAGGTGGGTTAAAATTAAAAGAATTAAGGAAACAGAATGTAGGATTGGGGATACAAGGAGGTTTCAGGGGGGGGGTGGGGGGATGTAGATAAAGTGTTTACTTTGAACATATATTTGAACAGAAATTTAAAAAGGAGGAAGTTTTTTTTGCTTTATGGATTTAGAAAAGGCATATGATAGTGGATGGGGGAGCAATGTGGCAATGTTGCAAGTATAAAATAGGGGTAATTTTTACTAAATCTGTAAAGATTTTTTATGAGGATAGGAGGCTCGGTTTTAGGGTGTGTAGAAAAAGGGGGAGACTACTTCCCGGAAAAAGTGGGCTTAGACGGGGTGTGAAATGTCCCCATGGTTGTTTAATTTTTATAGAGGGGGTTGTAAAAGAAGTAAATGCTGGGTTTTTTCGGGAGAGGGGGGGGTTTTTAAAATTAGGGGGAATAAAATTCAAAAGGGGAAATTTAACACATTTTACTCTTTGCTGGGAAACTGTCTTATGGGGATTCTAAAGAAAAATTACAAAGTTAGTGGGGATTTGGAAAGTGTGTAAAGGGAGAAAAATTTAAAGTGAAATGAAAAGATAAGGTGATGAGGGGGTCAAAAAGATTTTTGAAAAAAAAATGGATATCAATTTGGGGGGGGAGTATGGGAAAAGTAAAAAATTTTCAATACTTTGGGGGGTTTTACGTTCGGCGGATGGGTTTTATGAAAGGGTGAGGTTAATCATAGAATTTTGGGAAAAAAAGTGAGTGGGGCATTGAGGTAAGTGGGGTCAAAAAAAGTTATCTATGGGGGCAAAAAAGGGGAATGTAGAAAATAAGTAGTACCCAAAACTCTTATATGGGGGTGAAGCTTGGGGGAAAAAGCAGCCGAGAGACGGTTTGGGGGCGTGGGGAATGTCCTGTTTTAAAGGGGAATGGTGGGTAAATATTATGCAGAAAATTCGGAGTGTGGGAAAATTTGGAAAAGTTGGAGTTAATAAAAATATTATCAGAGGGCAAAGAGGGGTTTTTGAGGTGGTTTGGGCATTTTTAAAAGAATGGATCAAAGTAAATGACATGGAAAGCTTTAAAAACATAGGGGGAAAGGAGGCCAAAGGGAGGGGGCGTCCCGAAAGGTTGGAGAGAGGGGGGAAAGGGTTTTGTGGCAAGGGGGTGGGCTTCCACAAGCGTGCGTGAGCTGTTTAAAAGGAGGGAAGGGGACAATGGAAATTGGGACCCGACGTCTTTGGAGTGGACAGGGGAATATTTAGTGAAGGGGTTCAGGGGGAACCGTTATTTTCATATGCGGACTTGAGTCCTGGAAATGGGAAGTACAATGCCCGCCTTTAAAAGGGGGGGTTTTTTGGGTATTTTCATTTTTTGGAGGGATATTTTGTTCTTTATACGTTAAACTCAAACTGTTGTTTCTGAGCACCCTGCAAAAACAGTGATTAGTGTGGGTGGAAAGTGTTGAATGATGAAAGCATTTTCCCTTTTTGGGTTTTTCTTTCTTTTTTTTTGGGCACCCTACCTCGGGGGGAGACGACCGACTTGTATTCACAAAGGGAATGCCAAACTCTAAGGGTTAATCAGTGCCCCCCCCCACAAGGTTGTACGTAAAAAATCAGATTTAAAACTTTTTTTAAATACCAAGAAGACGGCCACCCTGTAACTCAGATTGACTTTTTAAAAACTACTTTTTGCATGCTAAAAAAAACGTTAAAGGGAAACTACTATCAAAGATTTTTTTTCTGCATTCAAATTTTGCTGGCATGTTGAGCCATGAGGGTGCCATTACAGAATGTACATAGAGGATATCAACCATGAGGCATCCCACACATCAAGAATATGAACCTATTCAAATAAGGCATGAAAGTCCAACTAAGAACATGAACTTTAGGTGTTTTGCTACTTAACTGGTGTGTAATCATCTGTGTTTGACTCCCAGCTGAAGTCAGTCACCAGTGGTAGTGTACTACAATGGTTCAACTTACGATATTTTGGCTCTATAATGGTGCCAAACTTTTTTTTTTTGGTACTGTACAGTACTATACCTTTATTGAAAGGGAAAAATTGTATTTTATTTTCTTTTTTAATACTGGTAATTAGTTACATAATTTTTTATTTACTTATTCAAAAACGTAATTATTTTTTTACTTGTAAATATTTCATCTTGCATATTTTCAAATTTTGATGGGTTCAACGGAACGTAACCCCACATAAGTTGAAGACACCTGTAAAGTCGGAGAGGCAAACACTAGCTAGCCACGAACAAGGTTCTACCTCAGGAAACAGTTTATGAAATTTTGAAAGGTTTTAAATAGTAAAGTAAAAAAAAAAAATAATTGAGGTTTTTTTTAAATATTTGTTCATTTGTCTTTCAAACTGGGTTGCCAACATGTGCAATGGTGAAAAATTAAATGAAATAGGCTTATCAGTATCTTTAAAAATACTGTAGTGGGGTGAGGCATACAGCCTGGCAGTATCACAAAATAGTTTACCTAAATCATAAGCATCTACAAAGTTTTACACAAAAACATATTAGATTTGAAGCATAATTTTTTGGAGAGTGTATAAACGAGGGAAGGCAGGGGGGGGTAGGGGGCGCCTCGGTAAGGTTGGGGGGGGGTAAAAAGGTGTTGTGGGCGGGGTTTGGGCTTCCATAAGCGTGTGGGAGCAGTTAGATAGGATGAATGGGGGACAAATGAAATTTTGGGCCTGACGGCTGTTGGAAAAATGTGAGCAGGGTAATATTTAGGAAGGGATTCAGGGAAACCGTTTTTTTTAATAACCGACTTATCCTGGGGAAAAGGGGAAATACAATGCCTGCCTCAAAGGAGGGGTTTGGGATATTGGCAGTTTGGAGGGATATATTGTGTACATTTTTATACGTATATATGTACTTCTAAACTGTTGTATTCTGGGCACCTCTGCAAAAACAGTGATTATGTGTGAGTGAGGTGAGTGCTGAATGATGATGATGAAAGTATTTTCTTTTTTGGGATTTTCTTTTTGGGTCACCCTGCCTAGGTGGGAGACGGCTGACTTGTTAAAAAAAAAAAAAAAAAATTATGGAGACATTAAAACATGCATAAATGTTTTGAGTGATAATTTTTAACAATATAGGAAGGTCCCCGCTAATACAGCGGGTTAGGTTCCAGGCTACCTCTGTTAAGTGAACTCGCTGTTAAAGTGAATCACTTTTTTTTTCACTTTTAAATGCGTATAAATTCCTGATACCTTGTTTACATTATTACATATTTAGTTAGCAATAGAAATAGGCACAAAATAACAACAAAAAAGTAAAATGCATATAGAGTACACTCATTGCTTGCCTTAAAATATTTGTAGCCTTAATGTACTGTGAGAGGCTAGTCAAATTTATTGTAGGAAGTCAGAAGATGGCACATCTTCACCTCTGACTCTTAACTAATTTTAATGCAGTTTTATCCATGTTAAAAATCTGTTGCTTGGTATATCCATATTCTATTATCCCAGCTAGCTCATGTGGATAGTTTCCTGCAGCTGTAGTGGTGTAGCACTTTTGATTTCCTGCAACACTCTCCTTAGAGATCACAATTGTACTAACTGTTGGACGAGCCAAACCAAACTTACATCCTATCTCGGCCCTTGACATACCTTGTTTGTTAACTTTAATCATTTCTGACTTTGCATTTAAAGCAAGAGGCTTATGACTCCTTTTTTTAATTACAACTACTCGTAGATGCCATTGTCAACGAGAGAGAACGAGTGAAGGAGAGAGATGCAGAGCTCATGGAGAATGTAAACAGAGTGGGTAGTCCACTTGCTGTTCATGTGTGTTCAACTTGCATTACGCATACATTTGTGATGCTTTATTTTCCACAATTGCATTGTGTACAAGTTGTCTTCACGTTAGTGCAGTAGAATAAATAACAGTAATGCTCCCATTCTCGTGCAACACATAATTTTTAGAGTGAATGATGCTGTGTGTGAAGGCATACGAAAGAAATTTTTTTCTACAGTTAAACCCCCCCCCCCCCCATAATACTATACTGTGCATAGCTTCTCTGGTATTGGACTTGAAAAAACAAAATTCTTGCCGTCACTCCTACAATCCGCCCAACTATCACACTTCATATGTCAATTTGGTTTACTATGATTGTATGTGCTATGTTTATATCATTTGTAGTATATTTCTTAAATAATTTTGAAAAAAATCATAGATGGATTAATGAAAATGTCTATAATAACATAATATGACATTTAAAGCATCCCAGAGTGATTATTTATTATTATTATTATGCTTATTTCATTTTCAACACTAGTGAGACACTCTTAGTGATTCTAATGTGTACCTGCATGTCAGCACAGTATGTAAATTTATTTAGGTACGGGTACACATAAGTACAATTGTCAGAGTATATACGAAATACGCAGTAACTTTAAAACGCTTGAAATTTTGGAAAGTTTCTGAACATAATCAAGAAACACGGAGCTCACAGGGGATGTAAAGAGTGTGGCATGTGGATGCTCTAATAGTGAATCAGGGAGCCAAATAATGAATTTTGGTTATAATTCGAAATGTCCGTATTAGTGAATTGCCGTTAAGCGAAGCACTGTAAAGCAGGGCCCTCCTGTGCACTTTTATGCACCTTTCCTCCTGAGAGGTATTCAAACCCACTAGCCAAGGAGTTTGAAACCTACTTGGAAATTCTTTTAAACATTTTGGACAAATCGGCCATCTCCCACCAAGGTAGGGTGACCCAAAAATAAAGAAAATCCCCCAAAATAAAATACTTTCATCATCATTCAACACTTTCACCCCACTCATACATAATCACTGTTTTTGCAGAGGTGCTCAGAACACAACAGTTTAGAAGCATATACGTATACAGATACACAACATATCCCTCCAAACTGCTAATATCCCGAAACCCCTCCTTTAGAGTGCAGGCACTGTACTTCCCATTTCCAGAACTCGAGTCCAGCTATATAAAAATAACAGGTTTCCCTGGATCCCTTCACTAAATATTACCCTGCTCGCACTCCAACAGATCGTCAGGTCCCAAATACCATTCGTCTCCATTCACTCCTATCGAACACGCTCATGCACGCCTGCTGGAAGTCCAAGCCCCTCGCCCACAAAACCTCCCTTACCCCTTCCTTCCAACCTTTTCGAGGACGACCCCTACCCCGCCTTCCTTCCCCTACAGATTTAAATGCTCTCCATGTTATTCTACTTTGATTAATTCTCTCTAAATGACCAAACCACCTCAACAACCCCTCTTCAGCCCTCTGACTAATACTTTTATTAACTCCACACCTTCTCCTAATTTCCACACTCCGAATTTTCTGCATAATATTTACACCACACATTGCCCTTAGACAGGACATCTCCACTGCCTCCAACCGTCTCCTCGCTGCTGCATTCACAACCCAAGCTTCACACCCACATAAAATATTATTCTAATAAGTTGTATACATTTTTAGTTTTCAGGTGTTGTAGCATATAACATGAGTAAAGCTGCAGTTGATCACTTAACCCGGACTGTGGCATTGGAGGTAGCAAGTCGTGGTGTACGAGTTAATGCTGTAAATCCTGGAGTTATAGTTACTGAAGTTCACAAGAATGCGGGTATGAATGATGAAGATTATGAAAAGGTAATTTTGTTAGATGTTTTTTTTAAAAAAGTATTTAGAATTTTAGGTAAAATAGTGCTTTAGAGCATTTGTGCAGTGTTTGTTTGTTTAAACAGTGTTCTCTGTCAGTCTCTGTAACATTACCTTTTGTCCTTCCCAGTTATTTTCATCAAAATTCAGGCTTCTAATGTTGTTTCCATCAGTTCTTTTGTCCAGTATGATATACAGTTGACCCTTAAACAACATGGGTTTGAACTGTACACTTTTTTTTTTTTTCAATAAATATATTGGAAAATTTTTTGTAGATTTGCAATCCAGAAAATTAAGGAAGTTAGGTACAGTGGACCCCCACATCGCATACCGTACAATCCGCATACCGCTCGCTTTTTTCGCAAAAATTTTGCCTCGCATACCGCCCAAAAACCCGCTCACCGCTCTTCGTCCGAGACGCGTCCAATGTGCGCCCTCAGCCAGCCTCACATGTTCCGCCAGTGGCATTGTTTACCAGCCAGCCTCCGCAGTAACATCCAAGCATACAATCGGAATATTTCGTATTATTACAGTGTTTTCGGTGCTTTATCTGGAAAATAAGTGACCATGGGCCCCAAGAAAGCTTCTAGTGCCAACCCTACAGGAATAAGGGTGAGAATTACTATAGAGATGAAGAAAGAGATCATTGATAAGTATGAAAGTGGAGTGCGTGTCGCCGACCTGGCCAGGTTGTACAAGAAACCCAAATTAACCATCGCTACTATTGTGGGCAACAGAAAGGCAATCAAGGAAGCTGTTCTTGCCAAAGGTTTAACTGTGTTTTCAAAACAGAGATCGCAAGTGATGGAAGATGTTGAGAGACTCTTATTGGTGTGGATAAAAAGAAAACAAGTAGCAGGAGATAGCGTCTCTCAAGCGATCTAAGCGAAAAGGCTAGGAAGTTTGCATGAGGATTTAATTAAAAAAATTTCCTGCAACAGTGGTGATGTGAGTGAATTTAAGGCCAGCAAAGGTTGGTTTGAGAGATTTAAGAAGCGTAGTGGCATACATAGTGTGATAAGGCATGGTGAGGCTGCCATTTGGACCACAAAGCAGCTGAAAAATATGTGCAGGAATTCAAGGAGTACATAGACAGTGAAGGACTGAAACCTGAACAAGTGTTTAATTGTGATGAAACAGGCCGTTTTGGAAGAAAATGCCAAGCAGGACCTACATTACTGAGGGGGAAAAGGCACCCCAGGACATAAGCCTATGAAAGACGGGCTTATTTTGTTGAGGGGTTTCCAATGCTACGGTGATTGCAAAGTGAACCTTTGTTAGTGATCACTCTGAAACTCCCAGACCTTTCGGAAAAAGAATGTCCTCAAGGAAAATTTTTTTGTGGGGGCGTGGAGGGAAACGTAAGGCAGGGTCACAGGGACTTTTTCTATGACTGGTTAAAACCATCATTTCCCCCCAATGTGAAAGATTACCTAACTAAAAAAAATTAGAACTTAAGTCCCTCCTGTTGTTAGACAATCCCCCCTATCACCCCACAGACTGAGAGCGACTTTAGGGGACAGAAATTCATTAAGGGAAGTTTTTGCCCCCTAATACCACCCTCTCCTCAGCCCAGGGACCAGCGGGTATTGCAAACTTCAAAAAACTGTACAAAAAAACTCTGTTTAAAAGGTGCTTTGAGGACCTCAAAAACTCAACTGACCTAAGAGAGTTTTGGAGAGACCTTTAATATCCTCATTGGGGAAAAACCTTATGGGTAAGGCCTTGGGGGAGGGAGTGACAAAGAAGCCCTTTGAAGTCTGTTTTGGAAGAAACTGTGGCCAGAATGTGAACAAAAAGGGTTTTTGAAGGGGTTTGGGGCAACCCTAAGGATTTCCCAGTTGAGGAATCCTTGGGCATTGGAAAGCCCTTTGGGTTTGGGGGTTAGTGGGGATAGGGGGAAGATTTGGGGGAGGAGGACAATGAAAAAACTAACCGCTGAGAGCTGAAGATCAACTTCAACACAAGAGGCCAGACCTGAAACTGGTTCGAAGGAGGGGAAGAGAAATTGAAGAAATTGCCCCTACAAAATTAAGGAAATCTGGCAAAAATGGCTTTTAAGTGGAAACCTTCATGGATGAAAATCACCCCGCACAGCTATTGCAAGCCGTCTGGGGATTTTAAATGACAATTTTGAAACACTTTTTGGGAATCATAAAGGAACAGAGGACAGGCCACTATGGACAGATATTTGTGCAAAGAATCCTCCTGAAACTGGGGCCTAGTGGCTTAAAAAAAAAAGGGGAATAAACCCCCGAAAAGGACGCGACACCTCAAATCTTAATGGGAAAGGGGGTTTCCCCTTTTAAACACTAACACACTCTCTCCCCCCCCCCATCCCATCAATCAACACCAGATCTTCATAAAAGAAGTTCCCGAATTGTGCAGCCTTTTTCATTGTGGTTATTAAAATTTAAAATTTCATGTGGTAAAATTTTTTTTTTTCATACTTTTCGGTTCTGCACGATTAATTTGATTTCCATTATTTCTTATGGGGAAAATTCATTCGCATACCGACATTTCGCATAACAATCACCCTCTTGCCGGGTTAAAGTCGCTATGCGGGGGGCCACTGTATCTTGTGGAATGCATAAAAATATTAGATACTAGTTTATTTTACATTTATACCATTAAAAAAAACATAAAACTATTATAAAAATTAAAATTTATCAAAAATTGCACACACCAAAAAATTTCACATCGTACATGTTTTTATTTTCTTGAGAAAATGAAACTAAAACATAAAGATGCGCATTAAATCACAATTAAATATAATTTCTTTTTTTACATTGCCTTTTCATTTTTGATGTCAGTGTTTTGGGGGTTGATATAAGACAGTATCGATGTGGGGGACGAACAGATATTCATCTTTTAAATACACACAAAACTACAGTATTTATAAATAAAGGACAGTACTGAAAAAATATTTTCTCTTCCCCTTTGTTTCCCTTAACATTTTCTTTTCTCTAACTTACTTAAAGGATACGTATATAATAAATATAAAATACAAAGTAGTTTTTAAAATTGACCTAGGAAAGTAGGTTGGTAGACACCCAACCGCCCGGGAAAGGTACACCGTCCGCCAGGTGAGTGTAAAATGAAAGCCTGTAATTTTTTTAAACTTGATGGAAATTGGGCGGGTGCCCTTTTTTTTCTGTTTTTGTAAATGTCCAAGTTTTTCGGGTACGTTTGTGACCTCTACTTACATTTAAGCCCAAACTAAAAACATCCATGAACAAGCATATACATCTCCCAAAACCGACCTTAGACCTGTTTGAAAAAGACTTAAGACCGGGGTTTTCAAATTTTTCTTTTTTTTCTAAAAAAAAAACAACGGGCCCCCGGTGTTACACATTTTTTTTAATCCTAAACCTTTTCAGTATAAAAAAAACCAGTATAACACAAAAAAAAAGTAAAAAAAAAAAATTTTAAATCCCAAAAAATAAAAAAAATAAAATAGCCCATTACATAAATGTAAATTTTTAAATTTTCCCATAGAAAGGGGCCGCTTGCTTTTTTTCGACTTATGCCCGGTTTGTCGAAACCGAACCCCAGTTGTAAGTCGGATGGAAAATGAAAAACCCAAACCCTTCTGGTTTTTTTTTCTATTTTCTTACTAGTTCTTTTTTTTTGTTTTTTTTCCCTCTTATTTTCCACGGGGAAAGGAAAAAGAATTCTTCCTCCATAAGCCATGCGGTCAAAATGGGGACTAAAAAAAACCCCGGGGCAAGGGGGTATAACCCCTTCTCCTGTATACATCATTAAATTTATAAAGCGAAACTTTCGTTTTTTGTTTTTTGGGCCACCCTGCCTCGGTGGGGTATGGCTGGTGCATTGAAAGAAAGAAAGATGTGTTAATGAACTGTTATTGGTAAGACTTCCAGTCAGCAGTAGGCTATTAATACAGTGGACCCTCGAATTTCATAATCCCTTTTCTGTGTGTAAAACTATAGTTTTTTTTTTTTTTCAACAAGTTTATATTTCCCATAAGAAAAAATGTAAATCCAATTAATCCATTCCAGACACCCAAAAATATTAACAAAAAATACATTTTATGGAGAATAACTATAGTTTTACATTCAGAAAAGGGATTATGAAATTCGAAGGAGTCAAAAATTATACGGATTTTTGACAGCCCAGGGGGTTGGGACCCCTAACCCCCCGCGTTTTCAAGGGGTCATTGTACGTATCTCTTTTCCTCATTAATTTTTTATGGCGTTGTCTGTTTCTATCAGTAACCAAAATTTTCCATTCACTTCGCATGCTTTTCAACAATGTTTATTCACATGATTTTTTTTTTGGGTTTTAAAAACGTTTTACTGACTATATCTGCTTTAGTTTTAAAAATTTTGCCTTCTCTGGTCCTAAAAATAATTTTTTTGCGGAAAATTTAAAGTTATTATAATCATAAAAAAATTGCTAAACCCTAGGGGCCATAGGCACCTGGGAAACGATAGATAACAGGTTTGATCAGAGAAACAAAGGGTACTCCATTTCTTAGTATGGGCCCTTGACCAGCGTTTTTCCCCCCCCCTCTTTAAAGGGACTTCATGAATGCCCTCATTTTGTGCAAAGCCTTGCTGTATATTTTCCTGATTAGAAGATTTAAATATTTCCCAAACTATGTTTTCTCCCCCAAAAAATATCGACACTGTTTCGTGGGATAAAATTTCCTCTTGTTGTTCTATATTTTTCACAAAAATGCCTGAATTACTTATTATTTTTAAACCGGGGATACCTCTCATTATTATTAAAATAATAATATTGTATTCATGAAGGACAAGAAAAACTCATAGGGGGGTCATACAGTGGTTTGGGGAATGGTAGGTAAAGTCCAATTTCTTGGATCAAGAACCTCTCTAACACCAAGGATCTTTCTTGAGGGGGGGAGCCCCTCGTCATCACCTTTCATTGCCCTTGAACTTTTTTTTCTGTTTGTTAGATTATTCTTTTTTTTTTTTTTTTTTTTTTTTTGCTAAGGGTTGGCAGTTTTTCTCAAGGCACTGCTATGGTGATTCCTTTCATGTATATACCTCTTAGCCATGGTTTGATAGGCTTTTCAAACCTGC